TTTTATTTAGACAACATTGTTTAGTTAAATTTTGATTTGATTTTTTAAGTTTAAGAACATAATGTAATATCTTCTCGCATGTAATATCTTCTGAAAAAAGTCCAATGTCATATGGGTGGGAAGTAACACTTTGAGGGCCACTTTCACATTCATCAGATTTCGTTATGCTAGAAACGTTTTCTTCAACGGAAGTATCACATTTCTGTAGAACAGAAAAACTTACATTGTACTCCGTTCTCCCTTTTATATAATTTTTCACCACATCTCCAAAATTCTCGAATTGTCTCAAAGACGACAGAACGTCTAAGATTCCAGAATCATCGCGTAAAGACCTCGCAAATGACAGCCAGTCTCGAAAACTATCGCGACTGGCAGAACAGAAAGGAACCAGTCCATAACAGTGGTTTCAAAAGTACAACCCTATTATAGTGATTGTTTTTTTTTTCAGTATTCTGAGAAATACCCTGAGATAAAAAGGTAGGCATAAGGCAAATAAAAATATATAGTCTTAAAAAATAATACTCGCATAATTTCTACTAAAATGTTTATTTTTGCCATTTTGTCTGAGCTCAAGGGGGGTGTTCAAACCCCTAAACTCCTCCCTTGCGTATGCCACTGGAGTTAGACTATTTTATAAACAGCAGTAAATATTTGTTTTGTCCTGTTTGAAAAAGAAAGGATACTTAAAAATAAATATCATCCTTAGCTTGCAAATGGTTGTTTTAATTACCAACAAAAACACAATTTGACTAACAATTATTACTTTGTTTAAAACAATATAGTTCTGAGAAAGGAAGTTATTTTTTCTTATTTACAGCAATGCCCATTTTTACAACATTGACATTTATTTGAAGAAAAAAAAAAAAAAAACTCATCAATATGCTAAAAGTTAAAGCGCCATTGTTAAAAAAGTGAGTGAAAAATTTTTTCCAGGTGCATTACATAGGTAATAAATTGGCCTGTTTTTGGACTAAAAATATTTTTAAGCCTTGAAATACATAAACTTCTAAGTATTAATAATGGTAGGCCAATAAAAAAATATTTTCTGCAGATATGTTGCAGAAATATAGAGCATTAATAATAGATTCAACAATGTAGACATATTAGTATGCAATTATGAAACAAAAATTTACAAAAATCATAAAGAATTACATAAAAATTACTAAAAGATATATCAATTAGTTAATAACAATAGTATTAATAATAATAAAGGGCATAATTTCTGATTTAGAATTACTAATTTTAAGGTGGTAAAATGTTTAATACATATACATACCGTGTTACATCTTGTAGAATTAGATGGGGAGGAACAAAAAATTTAACTCTTAGATCAAGTCGATATGGTGGAGGCCCAGGCAATTGCTTTCTTAGTTGGTTACGCAAATTTAACCACAACTTTTCTCCATGTGGACCAGCATATTGCAAACCCATGTAATCAGATTCAATTATACCTAGAACTTCACAAACCTAGAAAAAATACAAAATAAAATATTACACCAAGACAACTATTAAAAACCACACTGAATTTTAAATTAGCCCATAAGTCTAGCTCTACTGTGACAGAATCAAACAAAAATAAAAAAAATTATTTAAATATTATAAATATTTAACTAATGTAAAAGATTTCACAAATGCAAAATTTTGTACTAATTTATCAACTCAATCTATACTACAAACTTTTTAAAAAATAAGTGAAATATTATCCATAAAATTAGCAAATTTTATTTTATTAATCTTTGGTACATGAACTATAATCATTCTATTAATTTTCTAAAGAATAATAAATCTTTAAATTATTTTTTAAGAAGTAGTATGCACAGAATAAAGATATTTCCCTTTTGTAATCTATTGCAATCATCAAGGTACATAATGCATTTTGAACTTCCAATTTTTAAAAAAAAACAAACATGTACAGTTTTGCCTGGGAATGGCTTCGAGTTACACCCTTAAAGTCAGTCTCCTTATAAAATGTTTAACTTTTTTTAAATCAATCATGGGCTGCATCCCCAAAATCGCAAAGATTTGGCAATTATTCTACCGTATTGCAAATCACAATACGGAAATCTTCCTTAAAGAATAATATACTTAAAACTTTAATAGTAATGAACAATATAAAAATTCTAGCACTAATATGAAATCAAAGTAATATTGATTTGTTTTCTTTCTTTCCAAAAGGAAGATAAAATAGATACAATTACATGGGGAGATTTCCGTATCGTGATCTCTGTCAGAATAACCGTCATGTCTTGGAAACTTCCGGGCAGTGGCCAGCGAGAAACTTAAAAAAAACATCACAGAAAGGGACTAACTTGAAAGGTATAAGTCGTAGCCACCCCCAGGCAAACATCGAAATTTTTTTTTATTAATTAAAAATTTGCAAGTTTAGGATCTATTTGGCACCTTGGCGATTGTAGTTGGAGCGACAGATCACGTTACGGAAAAAAACCCCGATTATAAAACAAAGAAAATTTCATACCAAAACGAAAGGAAAAATTAAATTAAATATAGCAATATTGACATTTTTTAAAAGTAAGATGATACCTAAAATAACTAGATAGTTTAACATTTCATATTTCAAAGAACTGAATTTAAAGAACATTTTTACTGCTTAGAAATCTGAAATTTTTTAATTTGCTAAATATGACAAAATAGGCTTTTAACCATTATGACAATTTTATTAAAATAATTTCAGTAATTTAAATTTTCAGATATATAACTATTTTTTGAATTTCACATAAAATTAAATAATGAAAATTTTAAAAAATCGTGGAGTTAGATAGGTATCTTCTATGTGGACAAGTATTTTTAGAAGATTTCGTGGTGCATATTTTATTTTTCTCAGAATTAATTATTAAAATTTTATTTACTGAAAAATGAAAATTATGGTTTCAGATAAAATCAGAATTATGATTTAAGTATCGAAAAGTAACTAAATGAAACACATCATTAATACATTTTCCATTGTCTGTGCATGAACTCAATATTTTGTCAACAAAGTAAATATCTTCATTCTTCATAAACAAAACATACTTTATCAAGGCATTGTTTTCCTTTTGCTTTGGAATCTATCTCGACTTCAAGTATCACAGAATCAGCTTGTCTCACAAGGCACAACATAGTGTTTTTAAATCAAATATTGAACATTTTAACAATATTTAATTGTAAAAAATTCCATTCTAGCTTCCTTTCATTGCTGAATACCACACCAGCTGACAGTTTCCTAGCAGAACTTATAACAAAAAGAATAACAAAACAACATGTAAATGTAATGTGTAACACGGTTAATCTACAGAGGTTCTATAACGCAATTATTAAAGATACTCCCCAGATGGCAGTAAAAAGTTGAACACTGAAAGGAATACTCATCCTTTAAGGGTGATTCTTACTGCATTTGTAAAATTCGCAGATGTAAATTTGGAGAGGCAAACGAAAACTTGATTGGCGATTTTTTGGTTGTTCACTAATTTGCGATCGCAACGCTCGAATACGCCGTCTGGGGTGAAGACCGGTTCCATGTCTTGAACCTCTCCCTCTTCTCTTTTCAGCTGTTCAGGAATGTACAACAATATTTTCCTCTTTCTTGCCATTTTTCGTATTTACTAGTCAAAATTATTATTTTTAAATTTCAGCGACGTTTCATTTTATAAATATGTTCAATGCAGTTTTCAGTTCCATATAGTTACCTAACTTCAAAGTTTTTAATCTATTTGAAAATCAGGTCGGAAACTAACCTATGACTCTCCACACTTTAATGGTGAAAGCATGCGAAGTGTTACCACATGTGGAGAGCGCTGCTTTACGCCACCTGTAGCCCATTTCAATCGTCAATACTTTTCGCATTCAGACTCTCAAAAATATGTTTCAAACTTCCGACGATGCTCACTCTAAGAACTATGTTTAATACAATTTCGAATTCCGTAGAGTTTCAAAACTTAAAAAAAATTAAATCAATTTGAAAGTCAAGACGGAAATCGAAGTCTTTCCATCTCCTATGACTGTCTACATGATAATGGTGAAAGTATGCAAGGTACTATAGATCAAGAGTTCTGCTATATATAGCCCATTTTGATTGCTACTTGACGACAATTTCTGTCTGAGATTCCTTCACGTGCAAAAAAATCGTAGGTTGAGAGAATGGTTCTTAATGTTAAACCGAAGACAATTCTGGTACATGCGCTTTCTATAATAACACAATTAGATTGGAGAAAAGGTGGTGGTTTTACTCCCCTGGTCTCCGCACCACACTTCTTAACCATGTGAGGACTTTTCCAGCTGTCAAATCATCAAGGGCGCGATTACAAATTAACAATTGTGCAATACTAGTCCTTTAATTTCAAGATTGCTTCCTTTGGAGTTTGAATAATTCCATAACTTCGTTGGTAGAGAATGTTAGGGAAGCGACTTCTTCTTTGACAGCACTACAGCCCAGTGCAGGACAAGGCCTTTTCGGTCTGGATCTTCCAGACAGTTCGACTAGTAGCTAGATTTCTCCATCTATTCACTCCCAATACTTTTAGGTCCTTCTCCCCCAAGTCCCACCACCTTGTCTCCGAGCTCCCTCTCTTCCTTGTACCCTCAATCTTTGAAAATGTTTTTCAGCTGCATCAGAATCTTCAGGACGAAAAACATTTCGCAGCCATTTGGTCCTGTATGACTTAACTCGCAAAACGTTCAGTTGTCAATATTTATTATGCATCTTATGGTGATATAAACTTTTCCATGTATTATTTTCTTTCACTATTCCAAAAATTGATCGACGAATTTTTCTTTCAAAAGTGAGTAATAAATTTCTTCTGCTTCATTAAGCACCCCAAGTCTCACTGCCATACAAAATAATCTGTCTAATAAGTGCCTTATATAAGTTTATTTTAGTACTCATGGAAATATATTTAGATTTTAATTGGTTCTTAAGTCCAAAGTAATAACTATTAGCTATCAAAAGTCTGTTTTCAATTTCTACTTTTAACTCATTTTTATTGGTAATAAGTGTGCCAGGTATTTAAACTGGGTGAATTCACTAAAGATATAATTACCAATCTTGAGTGTGAGTAATTAACAAGTGTGCACTATTAGTCCTTTAATTCCAAGATCGCTTCTTTTGGGGTATGGATAAAAATGCAATGATTTTGTTTCTAGTTGTCTGCATAGGAAATATAGAACAAGAACTCTTTAACGTAAAAAACAAATGAGTGTAGAAAGCCCACTACATCGACTGAACAGCATTGATTTGGAAAATTGAATAATTATTTATCATCACCTGATATTTCTGAAACTGAGTATATTTGAGAATGCGAGCATCATGAATTCTAATGATATAACTTATTAAATTAAAAATGTCAGCAAATTCTTGCTAGATTACTCAGTTGGAAACCTTGTTCTTTTAAAGAGATAAAATCCTGTTGACAATTAAAATTCTTTAAAAAATTATTTTGCTTTGCTAAAATTTTTTTGATTAAAAAAGATTAACTTAGATTAAAAAAGAGAAAAATATTGTTATTGATAGTAACGTTGATGTTTTGAATTTTATTAATAATAATATGGTTTCTAATATTAATACTTTTGACTTTGAAAATTTGTACACCAGTATACCACATGCACAAATAATTGATATTTGTAGTGGCATTTCTGATAAATATTTATTTAAAGAAAATATTGATAAATCTTATTGGATGGATATTTGTAGGTTTAATCTTTTCGAAAATGTACTTTTTTATGGCCTTAATTATTATAAGAAAAATATAGGGATTCCGCAAGGTAATTCTTTTACTGGTGCTTTTACCAATATTTTTTTGAAGCAAAAGCTAGCGAGTTTAGTGATTTTAAAGCTTTTAGATATATTGATGATTTAATTTTATTTAATTGCGATAATTATGATTTTATTTTTAATATTTATCCTAAAGAATTGGTTTTGAAGAAGACTAATGAAAATTGCTCAATGTTGAATATTTAGATTTTAAAATTAATATTGTTGATAAACAAATTAAAATTGGTGTTTATGATAAAAGAAAGGCTTTTAATTTCAAAGTTATTTTTTTCTGTAATTTTAAAACTAATTTGTACAGTAAAATTTTCAAAAATTTAGTTTTTCTCAATTGTTTAGAATAAATAAAATTTGTAATAATCTGTAAGTTTTCAAGAGGCAACTAGTAATTTTTCAAAAAATTTAGAAAATAATGTTTTTTTAAAAATTTTCTTAATATTGATTTTAAAATTAAAAGTATGATTGAGAATTATTAGTTTTTTCCTTGAATGTGGCAAGATCCCTGTCAAGTTTTACTATTAATGAATTCACTTTTTTCTGACTCTTTCTTAACTTCTCTCCTTTTTTTTCTATCTACTGTGCAAGGGAGGGGGCTTTTTTGTTGTTGTTTGTTTCAATTCAGTTGTGTCTTGCAGTCAGCTGTCATATCTAGTTATTGGATTTTTGTTACAAATAAGCTTTTGTATGTACTATTCTTGCGTATTTGTCTTGTTTTTATTCTTCTGTATTTGTTTTATGTATTTTATATTATGTATTATATTTTTTTCCTGCACTTTGGTAAAACCTTTGGGGTACAGAGAGAGCAATTTTAGACTTTTGTCGTGCTCTCTCGATAGAAAAGGTCTTGCTTTTATGACTTCCGGAGCTGGTACCCCATGAAGACGTCAGCTTTGGTTGTCATATTTATCCATTTTTTACATAATACATTGTTTCTTATGAAGCTTTGCATTTTATACAATTTTGTGTTACATAAATTATTTCACACAGCTTAAACTTAACTACTAAATATGGCAGCAATATTAGTCTGGAACAGATCAATAATATATAATTTTCTTTTATCTAAATATGCATATTATTATTGGATAATGAATGTTTTATTGGTTGTAATTACTTAAATCAAAATTTTAAAATCAAAATATTTAAAAACATTTTTTTAACACTTGCGCTGTTTGCATAGACAAATTTCATTGCTAATTCATTTATCATTGATCACCAGCATTTGACGATTTCATGCTTTTTTATACATAACAAAACTTACTTAATTTGTAAAAAAAATATTAACTCAACTAAAATTTTATTTTAGAATAACATAACCGAAAAGGCATGGAATGTCTTAAAAATAATATAAATTTTGACTGTATAAAGCTAAGTACAGATGGTATTAGGGGTTGAAATTCGCTTTAAGACTTTCTACTTTCGATTTATTTTTTTGCCTCAGTTTGAAAAAGCGAGCCATTGAATATTATACTTGTAAATGTTTCCAATATAATGTGCTATTTCAATATAACTTTCAATGAAATAAACAAAAACGAATTCGAAAGATTCTGCAAGCATGCTATGATGCTACTCAAAAAATAACAAATGGCAATATTTTTCACAAATATAGCCAAATAGGGGATAACATTCGAAACATGATAAACCTTACGTTTTATTTATCTTGTGATATTAATTTCCTAAATTTTTTTACAGCTGGCGACTTTTTGGAATTTCTAAGTTACAAAAAACTTGTATAAATGGTAAAATTACGAGCAAATTTAAACACAAATCACAATAATAAAACTTCCTTGACTATCAATCCTGTTCACACATCACCTCGTAAACATTACATAAGTGGAGGGATACACTGGAATTTTTCTAAATTTCTTTCTGTTTTAGGAAGCTTGTAATTGTTTACATTCAGTCAACCATCCATATTAATAGAGAAAAAAGAATTGGCGGAGACTGATGATTCAAACTGATTCCATGTACAGAGCAAATGCTATGGAATAATTCATATGTATGCTCAACAAGCCTCATATATGAAATTGGTCAAATATTTCTGAGACATAAGAAAATAATATTACACAGATTTTAATAATTATATTAATTTATTTGGCACAGTGATTTATCTCATGCATCATACAAATACCATGAAATGAAGCATATATTACATATTTGTGAACATTGGTAAACTATTTTAATTCTGTTAATTATCAAAATAATAACACTATGCAGTTACAAATAATTACACAAATTTATACTTTCACATTTTAATTCTTTATTTATTCCATTTGCATGTTACATAAATTTTTAATTTTATAAAATAAATGCCATGAAAGATCACAAATTGCTATAACTAATTCTTTAATGAGCTTCAAATTCAAAGTGATTCCCAAAGAAGTTATACTTTCTCATTATTTTTATTCGTAAATTTTTCTAAGTTAACTTCAATGTTTTTGCTCCTTATCTGAAAAAAAAAATATAGAGTTGCTCTAGGTGCTACATTTTTATTTATCATATATCCTGGTGTATAAGTTGACCCGTTGTATAAGTTAAAGTCCCATTTTTGATTACGAAGTAGCAAGTTTCTGGTATGT